TATATAATTACAACACCTTAAGTTTAGTTATTGCAATTTGAGAAACCAATGTCCTTTCTTATTAAAAAGGCCCTTGTACAGAAAGTGCTCTATCTTCCTCACAAGATCTGGGGTCAAAGGAGAGATTTTGAAACATTATAGCAATGGCTTCTAGTTACTGAATAAAGAATGTCATTTGCTCCTCACAGGACCCCTTTCAGGGGGATTTTACATATTGGGAAACAGCCTCATGAGCTTTCTACAAACATCTTTGTCCTCGAGTCTTCCCATTTCAGCAATTGGCTGTACCACTCATCCAGCAGCTTTCAAAGTTAGAAACGTGGCAATCTTCCTTTAACATCCATTTGCCTTTCCCTCATTCCCCCATATCCAATTCTGTGTATTGGAGGTTTTCCCACCTCTAAACTTGAGAATCCATTTACTTTTTCTCCATCTCCTTTGCCATTACACTAGTCCAAGTGAAGCGTTTCATCGTCTCGTTTGCAGTATCCTTTAGTTTACATTAGATTATCAATTTTTGTCCCCCTCCCAATTCAGTCTCTACTCATGAGCTAACATGAGTTTATAAAGTGTTCATTCTGACCATGCCATTCCTTGCTCAAACTTCTCTAGTGCCTTCCCAATAATTTTATTACAATAAAATTCCTCATATGGCCTTTGTGGATCTGCACTCTACCTCTTCTCCTATTGCAACCAACCCTGTTACCTTTTTCTCTTTTCACACTGGTCTTCATTCTGTGCTGCAAACTGGCTGAGTTTCTTCCATCCTCAGGGCCTTTTGCACAAGTTCTTCCTTTGCCTTAGAATTCTTTCCTGGCCTGCACACCTCTTCATCCCCTTTCCCTAAGCTAATGCTTTACCCTTTAGGTCTCATTTTAAACATCTCTTACCCAGGAAAAGTTTCCCTGTCCAAACAAGTCTAGATTCCCCTTTGTTTGTTCTAACTGTTCTATATTTCTCCTTCTTAGCATTTATCACAATTCTTGATATGTTGTCCTTTTCATTTCCTCAGTCTCTATTATTGGAGTAGGTAATACATCCATATAGTACAAAATTCAAAGTGTATTAAAGGTATAGAGTAAAAAGTCTTCTCTTCCCTGTCCCCCTGCTACCCAGTTCTCCTCTTTAGAACCACTTTTAGCATTTTGAATATCCTTCCCGAAATATTTTCTAAGTATACAAGCAATTATGTATATATTATTCCTCTTTATTTTTGCCTTTCATTAATACAGATACTATATGCATTTTCTGAACTTTATCTGTTAATAATGTATCTTGGCAATTATTCTATATTAATATGTAAATAGTTACCTCTTTCTTTTTCATGCACCATATAGTATGGACTTTTATTTAACCTCTCTCTAGGTTGGTTTTAGGCATTGGTTATTACAAATAATGCTGCATTGAATATCTTTGTATGTAAAGTGATTTCCCATGTTTATGCCTATAGAATAAATTACTAGAATTGAAATAATTAAGTTAAAGATTATGTGCATTTTTAATTTTGATAGTTACTGCCAAAGTGCTCTCAATGGAAGTTTTACCAATTCCCACTAGTGAATGCATTTGTCCTCACAATTACGTCAGTGAAATTTTTGTTCTTTGCCAATGCAAGAAATGGAAAGTATCTCTTGGAAACTAATTTGCATGTTTTTTTTCCTTGCACAGTTATATTTTCATATGTTAAAGAGCCATTTGTATTTCTTGGTGAACTGTTCATAAACTTTGCTTACTTATTATCTAATGTCTGACTAATTTGCTATACTCTAAATTCCCAATTTATACTGAAGTCTCGCCCTTCCAATTTAGACATACAATCTTCTCTTCAGTGGTGTCCACACCAAAAAATCCACAGGCCCCTGAATTTTATATGGGCCTAAGAGTCTTACTGAAAATTGGAAGTCTTAAGGTGTAGTCCATTTTATGCAGTGTGAGGCCTTTCATGTTCTGAAATGTACCACTCTTGACTGACTTTTTCTTCTTCACCCTGTCCAGCACTGTGCCCTTATTAGCCAGAGAAATGTTCCCCTTTCTCCCAGGAAACGTTCTGACTTTACCCTGGTCCCTCAAGGACTCTCCTTCTCCCCCAAATTAACTTTCAAGGAGTTTCTCCAACCCAAAATGGCACCTTCCTGAAAAGATTTCTAGTGGATACTGTTTTCTCTACCTCACTACAGATGTATTTTGCTGCTTGGCTCCCCTCTCTCCACTTTGCTATGGCAAACATTTTTTTCCAGAAATCTATCAAATGAAATGAATATGTGGCCCCTTGTGGTGATTTTTGTTGGGATCCCTGGTATTGATTTCTTCTAGTTTAGATAATTCCACCGTGGCAAGCTTTTATTCCTAGCATACAGCTCATGAGGAGAATGTAAGTCACTTGGTGTTATTAATGCCAAAATAGTAAACAAGAACACAAAATTTGCTAGATTAGAAGTGGATTTTTTTTTTTCCAGGCCAGACACAGTGGCTTATGCTTGTAATCCCAGCAGTTTCGGAGGCTGAGGCAGGCAGATTGCTTTGAGCTCACGAGTTCGAGACCGGCCTGGGCAACACAGCGAAACCCCGTCTGTACAAGGGTAATTTTATGAAAAAATTAGCCAGGTGTGGTGGCGCACACCTGTGGTCCCAGCTACTGGGGAGGCTGCGGTGGGAGGATGGCTTGAACCTGGGAGGCAGAGGTTGCCGTGAACCCAGTTTGTGCCATTGCACTCCAGCCTGGGTGGCAGAGTGAGACCCTGTCTCCAAAAAAAGAAATAAAAGGGAAGGAATGAATTAGCATGAATGAGAAAGGCATGATCTGCAGTCAGCCACCCATGGTCAAAGTTAGCAGATACCAACTCATTCTCAGAGCGAAGCAAAATCAGCCCAATGCTTTTGGCAAACTGGTTGCCTCCCTGTCATCATCATCTGGGCTCACTGTGGCTTGCCCTTCTGGCCTTGCCTCTGACCTTGCCATCTCTGGGGAGGCTTCTTTGCAAGCCCAAGCCTGGGCTCCCCCTCTCAGAACCATGTGCATACTTGTCCTGGAACTGGCTTTTTGCCTGAGCCTCCTGGAGGGCAGGGGCCATCTGGCACAAACCTGCATCCCAGGTTTAGCAGTTGCTAAATTAATGAACAAATACCAAGTCTTTCACAATGTAACTTGAGAGTGGAGGTAGTGGTAGTGGCAACTCCATCTGGGGGATGAGAGAAGGTGGAGGCTGAGTTTTGGGGGTGGCTTGCAAAAGAAGAGGAGAGACTATTAGCAGCTAAAGAAGTGGCCAGGGTAAACACCAAGCATTTTCCTGACTGGGGAGCTGTGGGTTTGTTTAAAGGTAGGGCTGAGTAAGGGGTGAAACCAGTGAGCAGGAGAGATGGCTAGTGCTGGACTGGAGTGAAAGGCATCTGTAGAGGCAGGAGACAGGATGGGGAGGGAGAGGAGTTGGCCTAGGACAGGACAGGACAGCACTTATTTGAAGACTGGGGGGCAGGAGGAAAGGAAGGGGAGGGATTGAGAAATGACCTGGAGGTCCTCAGTCAGCTGGGAGAAGACCTGGAAGAGTGGGGATCAGCTGCTGTTGGGATGGAGAGGAGGGCCAGGAGAGGCAATGACTCACACGGAGGGAGGGTCGGGCATGGGGACTGGGCGGTGGGGGTTGGGGATGGGGGGCGGGAAAGACATACTCGCAGGGGATCAGAAGGCCCCGTGGCAACTTTGTGTAAGTCCTGGTTCAGTCAAGGAGAGGAATCCGAGGGGAAAGGCTGATTAGACCCATGGCCCACTCTGAGAGAAAGGGGTATTGTGTGGGTGCAGGAGGAAGAGCAGCTGGGAAGTAGGAGTGCCTGGGACTGGATCCAACTGGAAAGGGGGCAGATATGTCCCCAGGATCAGGGTAGGGACCCTCTAGGAAGGGGGTGTTCTGAGAGGGAGGTTGTGGGGAGCACTGTGTAGGGGTCCTTGGAGGTGATTTCTGGGAAGGGGAAGTCTGGGGCAGGGCTGTGAGGAGTCAGGAAAGAAACTGTGAAGTCCACTCCTCACCCACCTCCTGAACCCTGGGGTCTGAGACCCTCAGGAAAGAGGGTTCAGTGGCACAGGAGGGTCCAGGGCAGGAGACAGAAAAGTGGCCTCTCAGGTCTTCTTGGAAAGGAACTCTGACCACCAGTGTGAATAGTCTCGCAGAAAGCTAAGCAGACACCCAGCGAAAGCCGGCCCCTCCCACTCTGGGAGAAGGGAGGGGCCAGCGGTTGCATGGGCAGCTTTCCTTGTGATGCCACAGGTCCTCTGGACATGCTGCTGCCTGGCCACACCTCCTTTCCCTTTCATCTTTCTCATCAACCAATGGGCTTGGGAGCATTGAGGCCATGCCCCTATTCTGTGTTCTAGTGCGGTCCTGGTTATCCCTCCTCTGGCTTAGTACAGAGCAGGCATGTTGGATTTGGGGCTTTTGTTTTGTTTTGTTTTTGAGACGGAGTCTCACTCTGTCACCCAGACTGGAGTGCAGTGGTGTGGTGCAATCCTGGCTCAATGCAACCTCTGCCTCCCGGGTTCAAGCGATTCTCTTGCGTTAGCCTCCTGAGTAGCTGGGATTACAGGCACCTGCCACCACGCCCAGCTAATCTTTGTAGTTTTAGTAGAGACGCAGTTTCACCATGTTGGACAGACTGGTCTTGAACTCCTGATCTCAAGTGATCCACCCACCTCAGCCTCCCAAAGTGCTGGGATTACATGCGTGAGCCACCGTGCATGGTCTCTTGCTGTTTTTATACTTTCTCTATATCCGTATAGAGATGTTTCACATGTAAGTTTTTGTTTCTTTGAATTTCTCATTTTTATTACCCCTGCATCATCTGCTACCCTGAAGGATCTGGAGGTAAGAGGCCCTGGGCCAGGGTGCAGTGACCCTGCAGGCCAGCCCTCCAACCTCCTCTCACAGCGGGAGCTGGGTGCCCCTCTGCCAACTGAGACAGTCCACACACACCCCAGCCCTAATGATTGTTCTCTCTACCTCTCCCCGCAGTCCTCCTCCAACTCCTCCTCTCTGCATGCGCCTCAGAGCCGGTACCAAGAACTGGAAGTAGCCCTGGACTCAAGCTCCGCAACAATCAATCAACTCAATGAAAACGTAGAATCATTGGTAAGAGTCCAGTGGGGTCTCCTGATTCCACGCTGCCAATCTTGGGCCTTAGTTTCCCCTTGGGGCTCTGAAGAAAGGGGCTGAGGGCCCTGGTCCAATGGGCAGATGGGGAGCTGAAGCACCCAGGCCTCACCTGGGGGACCCCGAGCAAGGAGGATGCAGCATGGCTCTTCTGTCACTCCCTTCTTTGCCACTCTCTCTTCTTCAGACACCCCTGCTCCAGTCCTTGCCACACACACCCTGGGGTTGTCACCTCTCAGGGAAGCACTAGTCTGACTGGTTGTCAGGGGCCCCGTATTTCTGCCCTGACTCAGTCTCTAATTTGCCCTTGAGTCTGGACAAGCCACCTCTCCTCCTTGGGCTCATGTTTCCAGAGGAGGTAGAGAGTATCAAAGGTCTCTGTTAGCTCTGAGAGTCGGAGATTTGGGACCCTAGAATGGAAACCTCAGGGCCAAGGGCTCTCGTCTGTCCTTTTCTGTCCTGTATCTCTGCTGTGAAGAACCGTACCTGGCTTGTATGTGCTCAGTAAATGTTTGTTGAATGAACACACCTTTCTAAATCACAAGCTGGCAGAAGGGTGGGCCTTTCTCAGACTCCATCTCTAGAGGTTTATGTTACTGTCCTTTCGAGAGAATCCAGATTCAGATTTTGAGTTCTGTGGCTATTGGCGAAAACCAACAAAGACCCAAATCCTCTGTCTTTGGGAGCTTGAGGAGAGTTGACCAGTTCGTGTTGCCACTTGGCCTGAGAACTTTGCCTTTAAAATCCATTCCTGGCCCCCGCCTACCACATCCTGGTCTGGGGAATAGAGCCCCGTCAGTCACCTGAATTTGACTCTCCCCACAGAAACAACAGAAGAAACAAGTGGAACATCAGCTGGAAGAAGTAACTTTTTTTTTTTTTTTTTTTTTTGTTCACGATATAAATGCTGGGTTTGGGGGGAATTCATGACTGCTGCGTTTGGGAGGCACTCAAATGTAGAGGTGCCAGTCTCATGTCGCCCACTCCCAGCCTGGGGAAGAAGGCTCACCCCTCAGATTCTACCCCATCCTTCCAGGTTATCCCCCGGTAACCTGGTCCCATGGGTGGGCCTGGCCTGGGGCATTGGTGGCATGCTGGTGGCATGTCTCTTGCTGTGGCATCTCTGTCTCCTTCGGGTAAGGGCTCTGTCTTCCTCTTCCTATAGGAAAAGAAAGCAAACTATGGAAATACACAAAGCACAAACAGAGCAGTTAGGGGTGAGTGGAAGGTGTGGAGTTTTCTCCTGTCCTCCCAAGAATGTTTCTTTCCTTCTCTTTCAGTGCTTGCTTGGCTTTTCTCCCAAAGGTTCAATTCCAGACAATCAACATCCTCATGTTGGAAAAGGCAGACTTGAAGACCACAGTTTACCATACTAAACGTGCCGCCACTCCCTTCGAGGGTGGGAATCTGGCACCCTGTTATCCTTCAACCTAGCACTTTGACAGGTCTTTAGGGGGAGTCCTTTGGGCCCCATCTCAACCTCTTTCATTACAGGAGAATCCAAGGATCTGACCAGCCACCTGCAATATTCCTTGCAGCGTATTGGAGAGTTGGAGCAGGCTCCCTCTGCTGTCTCCATGCAGCAGCAGGAAGAGGACAGGGTGAGTCCAATGAGCTGCCCCGTCCCCTGGCAGCCTGGCTTCCCAGATGCAGGAGTGAGCCTGAAGGTCCCTTCTGCAGGATGCAGTGTCCTGCCCAGAAGGCAGCATGCTCATTTCTCGCTGCTTTTGTGTATGGTTGTTAGAGGCAGCCTGGGGTGAGTCAGCTGCTGTGGGTGAGTTGGGGGCACCGTGGGGAGCGAGCACTGGACGCAGAGTCGGAGGCCACACAGCAGCTCGAGGACTGGATGGTGAAGATGAGAAGTTTCGATGTGGGGAGCCCAGGCCATTCCACACAGTGCCCCTTAAAAGGGCAAGGGGTAGGCTCAGTATACAACTCGGTCAGTAAAGATCAAGTCATTTCCAAGCCCGTGGTCTGGTTTTTAAAAGAACTGTTCTACATAGTCCTGGAACAGGAGAGGTGTGGGAGTGGGAGGAGAGGCTGTGGGAGCAGGAGAGGCTTTCGGAGCAGGAGGAGAGACTGCTGGGAGCAGGAGGGGCTGCGGGAACAGGGAGAAAGGCTGAGAAAGCAGGAGAGGCTGGAGAGAGGCTGCTGGAGAAGTAGAGGCTGCTGGAGAGAGGAGAGGCTGCTGGAGCAGGAGGAGAGGCTGAGGAAACAGGAGGAGAGGCTGTGGAGCAGGAGGAGAGGCTGAGGGAGCAGGAGAAGAGGCTGGGAGCAGAGAAAGTTGCTGGAACTGGAGCAGAAAGCCAAGCTCTGGGACGAGCAGGCAGAGACACATGCATACCATGCAGAATGACTGCACCACCATCAGCCACGGCTCTCCCAGAACCACGAGCTTGAGAGCAGCTGGGCGAGGCACAGTACAACTTCCAGGAGCTGGTGGGTTGCCCCACCAGGGAGCCTGCCCTCCTCCCTGGCCCTCCATGCCTTTGTTTCCCCACCTGTAAAATGGGCATATGTAGCCCTCACATGAAATGGTACTTCTAAAGGAACCTGTGAGCCAGAGCCCTGCTCTGATGACTATGAGAGAGAGGGGATGATTTTTCTAACCTGCCTCCACCCTTCCCTGTGACATGGGAGGCAGACATCAAGTTCTGGGGTCTCCAGCTGCAGTGGGTAGCTGCTGATTGCTTCTCTTTGTCCAGAACAGTGAGAACAAGAGGCACTGCAGTTGGAGCAGCAAGTAAAGGAGCTGCAGGAGAAGCTGAGCGAGGTGAAGGAGATGGTAACCTCTGCCCCATCCAAGAAGGGCTGGGAGGCGGGCACCAGCCTCTGGGGAAGGGAGGTGTGAGGCCAAAGGCAGCTCCAGCCTGGGGGCAGGCGATGCCAGCACCCTTCAGGGCAGTCCTGTGACTGTTTCTTGCTTCCTGCCCTCTGACTTTTAGAGGAGGGTAGCCCTGGGTTCCTCCCATGTCTGGACATTATACTCCCAGCTAGAGGCATGGAGCCTCCCAATCAGAGGGAAGAGACAGTGGTATAAGAGGCTCCTTATACCGGGGCTGGTGGCTCACGCCTATAATCCCAGCACTTTGGGAGGCTGAGGCAGGAGAATCCCTTGAGGTCAGGAGTTTGAGACCAGCCTGGCCAACATCATGAAATCTCATCTCCACTAAAATTACCAAAAAAAAAAAAAGAAAAAAATTAGCCAGGCATGGTGGCACAGGCCTTTAATCACAGCTACTCAGGAGGCTGAGGCATGAGAATCGCTTGAGCCTGGGAGGTGGAGGTTGCAGTGAGCTGAGATTGTACCACTGCACTCCAGCCTGGGCCACAGAGTGACACTCTTGTCTCAAAACAAAACAAAACAAAAAAGCCTCCTGAGATTCAAACTGGATTCTGGCCTGGGTTCCACTGGTCACCCTTCAACTACTTTGCATCTCTAAGTCTCTGTTTCGTTAACTTCAAAAGCAAGTTAGCATTTTGCTTGCAGAGGTGCTGTGGATTAAATGAGAGAATACATGGAAAGCATTAGGCTTGTAGCACACTTAGCAGATGGTGGTTGGCTCCCTCTGGTTTTCCACCAGTCTGTGGCCTACAGTTTAAATGGTAGGAAGGAGGTGAGATTTTAGGCTGGGGAAGGAAGTATGGGGTTCTAGGCAAGGGAGGAATTCTCTATGGCCTGGAGCAAGGGGCCAGGGACCTGGGCAGGTGACAGAGCCCCACAGTGCTCTCGCTACCCTATTAATGGGCCCAGAATCTGGAAGCAAGTCACCACGTGCCCTCATGCCCAGGGTCTTCCTGGTGGTGGAGCAGCAGCAAGACTAGTACCTGGGTCACCTGCAGCAGTACGTGGCCACCTATCAGCCGCTGACCTCTGAGAAGGAGGCGCTGCACAGGCAGTTACTGCAGACCCAGCTCGTGGACCCGCTGCAGCAGCAGAAAGCTTGGGGAAAACCGGTGGCTGAGATGGCCTGCCAAAACTGCAGGAGACCCAGGGGAGGGACTTGCTGAGGACAGAGCCCCAAGAGGGACGACCTGGCATCTTCCGTGCCTTCTCACTCTCTTTCCCGTCCCCTTAGGAGCGCCTAGAAGCTCCAGCCACAGAAATAGCAGCTAGAGACCCAGTTGAGCCTCATGGCTCTCCCTGGAGAAGGTACAGGAGACCACTCAGAGAAGGAGGAGACAGCCCCAGGAGGAAGGGGGGACTGTCAGCAGCATAGGATTGAGGGGTTGGAAGAGACCTTTAGAACAGCTGGTCATTATGCCGACCGGGTGTCTGCACTAAGTTGGCATGAATATGGTGACCTCCTGGGATTGAGGGGCCACCAGGTTGCCTAAGGATGGGTGGACTGGCCCAGATCAGAAAGGGAACAGGTCAGAACTCCCATACCAACTGGTAGCAGGACTGTGCCTGGGAAATATAGCAAGATCTTGGTGCTTAAAAGGAAAAATAAAGAACAGCAGCTCATTCCCCTCTGGGGAAGGGCTGGGTCAGGGTTACACAGTGAGGGTGGGGAGAGGTGGGCCCACAGTACCTCCCTAGTTGGGTTGTCTGAGGACCCCTCTGGCCACCTCCCCCAGGAGATGAAGGAGGACATCTGGACACTGAGGAGGAGGAGGTGCCTCAGCCCATGTCAAGCATCCTGGAGGACCTGGAGAGCTGGGAGGCCATGGTGAGCTGACTCCCCCTACACCTCCTTTGCCACCTTCCTCTGTGGTCCCTCCCAGACTCCCTTATGCTCTTGGTTTCCCCACCTTCTGATTTCTTACCCCTTCCAGGAGCCAGTGGTCAGACACCATTTCACCTCTGACCAAGAGGTGCACTCTCTGAGGTCCCAAGGGAAGGGGCTGCGCTCCACCTCCCTGCCCCGTTTGTTCTGTGAATGTCCCTACAAGTAGGGCATCAGGGTGGCCAGTCCATGCAGCCAGGTTCCAGACATCCCCAGGATCTCAGCCCCTCCAAGGGTACCTGGAACATTGAGGCAGAGGGAAAAGCAACTGGCCAGAACACACACCCAGCTCCCCACACGCTCTAGAAGGTTTCTGGTCTCTGCCTCTCAGGACCCCAGACTCCCCCGATTCAGCCTCGTCTTAGTTCTGACTCTAGTACCCAGAATTTGCCTCTATTTCCCAGTCCAGAAATTGGAAAAGAACATCTCCAGGTCCCTTGCTTGAAGACCTGGCCAGAGCTGGTGCCAGGCTACAGACACCTGGAAGGAGGCGAGAAGGGCACACTCGCTTTCCCCTTGTCCTGGGAGGCCCACACACCAACATTGCCACCACTGCTGCCCCCGAGGAGCACAGCCAAAGTAGACACACACAGGAAAAGGGGAAGGGTTGAGTGAACCTGGGACACTGCACCCCAACTTTAGTGTATTTTTGAATTCAATTTGCTAATATTAGTGGAGGATTTTTGCATCAGTATTCATCAGTGATATTAACCTGTAGTTCTCTGTTTTGGATGTATCTTTGGTTTTGGTATCAGAGTAATGCTAGCCTTGTAGAATGAGTTTGAATAGTTGGGTAAGTTCTCTAGTTTTGGAATAGTTTGGGTAAGGTTGGTGTGAGTTTTTCTTTAAATGTTTGGTAAAATTCAGCAGTGAAGCACTAGGTCCCAGATTTTCTTTGCTGGGAGACTTTTTATTACCATTTCGATCTCATTATTTGTTACTGTTCAAGTTTTGGATTTCATCATGGTTCAATCTTGATAGGCTGGATGTGTCTAGAAATTGATCCATTTTTAGTTGGTTTTCTTATTTCTTTGTATATAGTTGCTTATAATAGCCACTAGTGATCCTGTGAATTTTTGCGGTATCAGTTGTAATGTTTCCTTTTTCATCTTTGATTTTATTCATGTGGGTCTTCTTTTTGTCTTAGTCTTAGTTAGGCTAAAAGTTTGTCAATGTTGTTTATCTTTTCCAAAAACCAACTATTCTTTTCATGGATGCTTTGTTTTTTTCATTTCAATTTCATTTATTTCTGTTCTGATCTGTATTATTTCTTTTCTTCTAATAATTTTGGGTTTGCTTTGCTCTTGCTTTTCTATTTCTTTAAGGTGCATTGTTATGTTGTTTATTTGATGCTTTTCTACTTTTTAAAAGTGGGTGTTTATAGCCATAAAATTCCTCTTAGTACTGCTTTTGTCGTATCCCGTAGGTTCTGACATGTTGTGTTTCCATTATCATCTAAGAAAGATTTCAGTTTCCTTCTTAATTTCTTCATTGACCCCACTGGTCATTCCAGAGCATATTATTTAATCTCCATGTGTTTGTATAGTTTCCAACATTTGTCTTGTTACTAACTTCTAGTTTTATTCCATTGTGATCAGAGAAGATGTTTGATATTATTTCAATTTTTAAAAATGTTTGAAGACTTGTCGTTTGACCTAAGATATGGTCTGTCCTTGAGAATGATCCATATGCTGAGGAAAGAAATATGTATTCTGTAGCCCAAGGAAGAAGACACCCGTCCCCACTCTGCTGCAACACACAGCGCTCCGCTCAGGGATGGGGCAGTGGTGTGCTGTTGTTACCCAAGGGGCTCTCTGTCGGGGCAGGAACAGAGTCTGTTCTGTAGTGTTTGCCATTTTTGGTGGTGCAGATGTTCCATGGCTGATTTCAAGCTGCCACCAACTTCTCAGCCTATCCAAGTATTTGAAAGGATGTGGGTGTTGTGATCTAAAGTGTATCTTTATTAGATATACTCCAAGCCCAATTATGCTATAGTTCTTGCAGACTGATAGAGGAACTGCCTTGGTGGTCTCGGATAAGATCTGGAAGAATTCTCTGGGCTACCAGACAGTAGAGATCCTTATTCTCTACCCATAACTGTAATTTCTCTCCAAAAAAACAGTCTCTCTCTCTCTCTCTCTGCTGAGCCACTTGGAGCTGGGGGTGGACTGACACAACATCCCTATGGCCACCACCACTGGGACTGCACGGGGTCAGACCTAAAGCCAGCAAAGCACTGGGTCTCACTCAAAGCCCTGTCAACACTACCTGGCTATTGCCTATGTTCACTCGAGGCCCTGGGGCGCTCCAGTCAGCAGATGGCAAAGCCAGCCAGGCTGGTGTCTTTCCCTTCAGGGCAACAAGTTCCCTCAGGCCCTGCTGGGTCCGAAGATGCTGTCTGCGAGCCAGAGACTGGAGTAAAAAACCTTAGAAATTTACCTGGTGCTTTATTCTAAGGCAGCTGAGCTGACACTGAAACCGTGAGACAAAGTCCTTCCCACTCTGCCTTTCCCTTTCCACAGGCAGAGGAGCCTCACCCTGTGGCCACCACCACAGGCCCACAGGGAGTGCTGCCAGGCTACTGTTGATGTTTACTTAGGGCCCAAGGGCTCCTAAGTCACTTGTGGTGAATGCTTCCAGGCCTGGGCCTCACCCTTCAGTGCAGTGGGCTCCCCTCTGGCCTAGGGCAGGCCCAGAAATGCTGTTTAAGAGCCAAGGCCTAAAATCAGTGACCATAAGAGGCCATTTGGTGCTCTCTACCCCATTGTGGCCAGGCAGGCACCTAAGTTGCAAGACAAAGTCCCTTTTACCTTTCCCTCTACTTTTCTTAAGTAGAAGAAGTCTCTCACCACAGCCACCATAGCTGGGAATGTGCTGGGTCTCCCCTGAAGCCAGCATGTCTCAGAGCCTTACTCCAGGCCCATCGCATACTACCTGGGTATCACTGTTGGCTATTCAGGGCCCAAGGGCTCTTGAGTCAGCAGGTGATAAATCCTGCCAGGTCTAGAATCTTTCCTTTAAGGCAAAAGATGCACCCTTCTGGCCCAGGGTATATCTAGAAAGCTAATTCAGGAGCTAGGTCCTGGAATGGGGGCCTCTCAACTCTGACAGGTGCTCTGTCCTACTGTGGCTGAGCTGCTGTCCAAGATGTGAGATAACGTCCTCTTTACCCCTTCCTGTCCTCAAGCAAAAGGGAGTCACTTGAGTTAGTGCAAGCTGTGTTGCCTGGGGTTGGGGAAGGGGTTGTGCAAACACTCCCTTGGCTGCCCTGGCTGGTGTCTCTCTAGGTCTTGTGTCCCCTGAGTCCACTGGCTCTGAGCCCAGCATGGCATTAGGACTTCCCTAGGAGTTGAAGTCCTTATGGTCTAGACTGCCTTTCAAGTTTATTTAGGGCCCCAGAGCATAATAGCCTGCCATGCCAAGGCTTGTGAAAACCCAAGCCTCAAGCCTTGTAACTACTGGGATGGGTGAAGCCCTCTGCGTAGGACTGGCCTAAATGCTCCCTCCATGGGCAGGTGTCACGTGAGTTCCACCTGGTTTTGTTTTCTGCTGTGACAGGGCAGCACTGAGTCCAAGGCAAAGTCCCACAGTTGCTGCATTCTCCCTCCCCTAGATGCACAGATTCTCTCTCAGCCCCACAGCGGTGACTGCTGGGGGAGGGGAAAGGGCAGGGGTGACATTGGTGTTTCAAGACTGTCTCTCCTACCCTCCTCAGTGCCTCCTTCAGGGACATGAAGTTAAACCACCCACGTACTGTGAGTCCTTGGCTGATTTTTGGTTCTTGTGAAGATGGTTTTCTGGTGGAGACAGTTGTTACATTTGATTTTCTTGCAGGGGGAAGGATTGGTAGAGACAACTATGAGCCATCTTACTCTGCCCCTCTTCCCTCACTTAACTTTACTTCCTAAGAGCCTGTTTCCAAATACAATCACATAAGGTGTTAGGGCTCCAAGTATGAATTTTGGGGAGACACAATTTAGTTTATAGCATTTGGACTTGGTGGGGGGAGAGAGAGAGAACATTAACAGGAAGTTCACAGTGTAAGCAACAGTATGGAGGTGGGAAAGTTCAGCTCATGGATAGAAAAAATTGATCCAATTTAGCAGGGCCCACAGGGAGATGTGGTGGAGTGGTGAGAGGTGGGCTGGTGAGAGGTGAGCCACATCAAAAGAACCTTGAATGCCAGGCTGAGGTGGAAGGCATTTCCTGTTGTGTAGAAGGTGCCATGAGGTGGTGGGGAGGGTAACACGATGAAAGGATATTTGGGAGGATGGATCTGGCATCAGTGATGGCTGGGGGTAAAGAATAAACAAAGCTGGAGGCCGGGAAACTGGACATATGGCCCAGAGTTCAGGCGTAGGCTGTTCAAAGGCAGTTTCCACACTGAGTTCCGATGTGGATCCAAGCATGCAGTGGGTAGACGATTTGGAAAAGCAAAACCATTCCCTTCCCATTACCACACAGTTTCCCAGCTGAGCTCATCACCAGAGTCCTACAAATCAGACAGTCAAACTACCCCAAACTCTGTCCCTAGAAGCTGTGGCCCACAGGGAGCCCTTATCCAGCTGCAGCCCAAGGACACTGCAGCCTGAGCAGGACTGCACCTGTTCCCTCCCAGGAGCCTCATCTCTGTCTAGCCAGGCTTTGATTTCAAATGCCCTCAGCTTTGACTTTGACATCTGTTGGGTGAGATTCATGAGAGCTCTGGCCTTCTTTGGGTTAGGGATTTTTAAATAGTTTTTTCAAGCAGGTAGTAGATCAACTCTACCTGCTTACTTCTGTGTGCATCTCTTGTTCCCTGGCCCCAGATCTTTTTCCTTGGTTTATCCTCTCGTTGTGTTGCAGCACAGCTTCCAGTGGCTTCCAGGAAAGAATGAATGGAAGCCAAGCTTTCTGACCCTCATGAATTTTAGGATGTCATTGTTCTACCACAACTCCTGATTAGTAGTTTGACTGGATGTAATGCTGTAATTTAAATGTACCTTCTCCTCACATTGGGAAATATTGCTCTATTACTTTCTAGTTCCCAGTGTTGTTGGGAAGAAGCTGGTGTCATGCAGAGTCTTGGCTCTTTACATATGACGTGTCTTTTCTCTCTGGAAGATTTTAGGATTTTCTCTCTTTGGGTTCTTGGAATTTCCCAGTGATATGCCTTGTTGTAGGTCTTTCTTCGTTCACTGTGCTAGTCACTTGGTAGACTCTTGAACTAGAAAATTATGTGATTCTATTGCAGGAAGCCACCAGCAGGTTCATGTAAGCTGGGTAATTGCATTCTTTTCTTCCAAGGACAGAGGTATCAAGGCCCTGGGAACCTTATAAGTGGATGTAGGGAAAGGGGGCCTGAGGTGAATCCAACAAAGCTGCAGCACCCACTGAGCTCATGTCCCAGGGCTAGGTTCTGCCTGAGGACAATAGACATGGGTGAGGCCCACTTCCTGCCCAGTCCCATAGTTGGGCTCAGGACTCACATGGTCCAGGAGGCCCCGGGTTACATTTACATGCACCTACCTGTATGCAGCATTCAGTGAGCCACAGGACAACTTAGGGAAGGGGGCAGCTCCAGAGAGCAGGATAGGAGGTAGATAAATAATCATGGGATGTGGAGTGGCCTTGTGGGGAAGGGGCAAAGGTAGGGCTGTGTGTGTGTGTGTGTGTGTGTGTGTGTGTGTGTGTGTGTGTGAGATGCATATTGGGAAAATGGAGAGAACATTTTGTCTGCCCCCTTTTCTGGGCACTGCACCCCTTTTCTCATGAATAGTTTTTCTTCCCATCATGGACTGAAAGTCTCTGTCTCCTCCAAATTCCTATGTTGAAGCCCTAACCCTCTGCATGGCTGTATTTGGAGATGAGGCCTCTAAGAAGTCATTAAGGTTAAATGAGGTCCTAAGGGTGGGGCTCTGATTCAGTAGAATTAGTGTCCTTATAAGTCGAGACATCAGAGAGTGCCCTCACTCACTCTCTCTGCACAAATACAAAGAAGAGGTCACGTGAGCACACAATATGGCAGCCACCTACGGGACAAGAGAAGAGGCGTCAGAATGAAACCTACCTTGCTGGTAGTTTGTTCTTGGATTCCCCAGCCTCCAGAGCTGTGAGAAATAAATGTTTGTGGTTTAAGGCACCCAGTGTGTGGTATTTTGGCATGGCACACTGAACTAATACATCTCCCCACCCTACTTCAAACACATGACACTAGAGGGCTTGGCAGTTTGTGTCCCAGCTACCCAGCCAACCCAGACCAGACCAAGCAGAAACTTTTTTCTGGAATTTTCTGAATCGGAACTAATGGAGGGGAGTCCCGTCCTTTCTTGGGGTCAAAACCAGGATGATGGAAGCCTCGTACTGCCAGCAGTCTGACTCCAACCTTGTGGGGAAAGTTGCTCTGAGATCACAAAACTGTTCTGCAGACTGAGGTGGAGACGGACACAAGGGAAGGAGCCTGCAGATCCTAACAGTGCTGGTGACTCTGAGTCCAGGTATTCCTGAGACCCAACTGTTCCCTGTTCTGCCCGTGGCTAACTTACTGACCAGTGAGCTTCCCCTCTTGCCTAAGCCAACTCAAGTGAATTTTCTGTCACTCACCCCCAAAGAGGCCTGACTGCAATGGCAGGGCATGGCAGGGCTGGGCTGGCTGGGGCAGAGTGTGGTGTGGGTGGAATCAGCAGTGACAGGCAACCAGGAAGTGCAGTTATCGCGTGGACTCCATGAGGTCTTCCTCCAACCCCAACTGTGAGCAAGGCTGGACTCATAAGCTCAGTAGGTCAGAGCGAGGGATTTGGTCAGAGGTGCCATGCTCGGGGCTATCTTTCTATGAGCCAGACTCTTGTCATCAAAGGCTTTGCCATCAGAGATAGTTTTAGTCATATCTTGGGTTCACTTGATCAATTGCTGTTCTGCTACTTTCAGGATCTTTACTCTAGGCTGTCCCACATGGGTGGGAGACTAAAGGCTGTATACACGAGAATACACTGACCTGGGAGCACTCTCAGGATTTAATGACTTGGCAAGGACACCTCGGGCTCTAACACACTGCTGGAGTGGCTCCTTGAAATGTGGATGGAACAGTTGCTGCAGTGAATTAGGTGTAGATTATAGAACTGCATTGGCAAAGCATCAGAGAAGCTGGAAAGTACAGGGAGGTAGGAATGTTGGAATGGTTCGTTATATGCCAGCAGATTCAGAATCCACCACTTGCCTATGTGCCCTTGGAGGCCTCACAGGAACTCCCCTCTCTAGGCTAACAAGGAAGGCACTAGTGAGAAGGGCACCTGAATCTTTCAGAGACTCAGTGGCACTGTCCTTTGTAGGCCAGGATCGACAAGAGGAGATGCTGCCATGAGACCAGGCTTCATGGTGTCAGTGGGAATGGTGGAAGGCGAGAACAGCAGATGCCAGGTGGTGGCAGGAAACAACAACAACGAGATGGCCCGCAGAAGGCTGCAACACAAAATCGCAATTTCCTAGCCAGTTTTCAGACTGAGACAATTGAGACCTACAGCTCATGGATTGTAGGGGAGTCTGGGTATTTGTGGAAAAAATCCTGCAACATTATCACATGGTATTCATTAATTATTCTCCAGAAGGATCTGGGGTCATTGATAAGAGTAACAGTAACTGATGAAAAGGGAACACCCAGACTGAGGGTCATTTACGTAGTATTAGAGCTGACCCTGACACCATAAGATCCACAATGCCACCATGTCCCCTCTCCAACAAGACTGAGGACACATGAAGGCTCGGTAATAAATGGAACCCTGGATGAAGAGACCGCAGTCCCCTCCGGTTGTCATTTCTCTGTCACTAAATATGCAACCGATACGAGTATGCTTAGAAGCTAACAGAGCTGTCACTTTACTCCCTGACCTGTGGGTATGAGCCCCTATAGTAGGAAGAGCCCAGGGGAAGTCTCTGAAACTCCCTCTTCCCACTTCCAGGAGCAACGCAGTATTCCAGGTGGAATCACAGAGATTTATCACCTCCCTCAACCTTGACCGCCACCTTATGGTAGTATTCTTACATTTTCCCACCTGTCCCTTGTGCTATTCTTGTCATCATTTTACTTCCACATGTTATAAACCCCACAGTATGTTACTAGTTTTGCCTCAATGATTTCTAGACATCAAAAAATGAAAAAATAGGATCTTTTCAATGTATCCATGTATTTATGATGTCAGTGGTCTCCATTCCTTTGTGTAGATCCAAATTTCTATCTAGTATCCTTTTTCTTCTGACCAAAGAGCTGCTTTTAACACTTCTCAGAGTGTAGGCCTGCTGGTGATCAGCCTGGCTTTTGTGTGAAAAAGTCTTTATCTTTTCTTCATTAAAGTTTTTGAAAACTGTTTTTTCTTTTCTTTTCCTTTCCTTTCCTTTCCTTTCCTTTCCTTTCCTCTTTTCTTTTCTTTTCTTTTCTTTTCTTTTCTTTTCTTTTCTTTTCTTTTCTTTTCTTTTCTTTTCTTTTCTTGCCTAGAGATGAGGCCTCACTATATTGCCCAGGCTAGTCTCAAACTCCTGGCCTCAAACAGTCCTCCTGCCTCGGCCTCCCAAAGTGCTGGGGTGATTACAGGCATGAGCCACCACACTTGGCCTCACTGACTTTAACTGCTTTTAATCCCATATCTGCACAGTTGACTTTTTCATCTCTAGTAATACTTTTTTGTTTTATTTTGAGACAAGGTCTCACCGTGTTGCCCAGGCTGGAGTACAGTGGTGCAATCACAGCTTACTGAAAGCTCGACCTCCTGTGTTCAGGTGATCCTCCTGCCTCAGCCTCCTGAGTAACTGGGACTACAGGTTCATGCCACCATGCCTGGCTAATTTTTAAATTACTTATAGAGATAGGTCTCCTTACAATGCACAGGCTGGTCTTGAACTCCTGGGCTCAAGGAATCCTTATGTCTAAGCCTCCCAAAGTGCTGGGATTACAGGTGTGAGCTACCACACCCAGCCTGTGAGTTTTTTGTTTTTTTTTCAATATATCTTCCATTTTTCTCTTCTCATCATGTTCAGATTTTTCTAGCCTTCTTGAACATATGGAACATATTTATAATATATTTTTTAACATCCGTATCTACTAATTACATCATCTCTGGGGCCTATTTCCATTGATTGATTTCTCTCCTGGCTATAGGCTCTAGTTTGCCTTTTTTTTTTTTTTTTTTTTTTTTGATAGGGTCTTACTCTGTCACCCAGGCTGGAGTGCAGTGGTGTGACCTCACCTCGCTGCAATCTTGTCTCCTTGGGTTCAAGTGATTCTCATGTCTCAGCCTCCCAAGTAGCCGGGACTACAGTTGGGTACCACCACTCCAGCTAATTTTTGTATTGTTAGTGGAGACAGGATTTAGCCATGTTGGCCAGGCTGGCTTTGAACTCCTGGCCTCAGGCAATCTGCACCCCTCGGCCTCCAAAGTGCTGGGATTACAGGCATGAGCCACTGTGCCTGGCCATTGCCTGGTGATTTTTTATTGACTGGTAGACATTGTGCTTTTGTGTTGTGATTGTTGGATTTTGTTTTCCTTTAAATAGTGTGGGACTCTGTTCCAGCACTAGTTACTTGAAATAAGTTGGATCTATCAAGATTTGCTTTCAATCTTTGTTCGGACAGTTTCAGAGAAGCCTTTACTCCAGTGCTCATTTAGCCCCACTATTAAGGCAATACTTTTGTAAGGCTTCCTTTCCATTTCCTAAGTGTTATGAGGTGTTTTCATTCTGACCAGTGAAAATATGAGTTATCTCTAGCCTGTTGTGAGCTCTGGGAATTCTTCAGTCTGCTTTCTGGCGGTTCTTTCCCTGGGTCCTTTCTTCTCACATATGTCCATATCAGCTTGAGGGCATCTTCCATAGGTCTCCAGAGCACACGCGTTCTCTTCTCCCACCTCCTCCGTGGTACTCTACCTCACAAATTCTACCGGCCTTGAAGACCTTCCCAAGCTCTGATCTCTGTCTCCTCAATCCACCACGACCACTGGACTTTGGATTCCCCTCCCTGTGCTGGAGCCTGTAATTGCTTCCGAGGGTGAACACTGTAGGGTTCACCTTCTTTTAGGGATTATACTTCTGTTCGACCGTTCTCCAATGTCTGAAAACTATTGTTTTATATATTTTGTTCCATTTTTCTAGTTATTAAAGGTTGGAGGCAAATCTGGTCCCTGTTAGCAATCAGGGCCACAGGTAGAGGTTGCAGGATGTTGTTTACATCCGTATCTTTTTTTTTTTTTTTTTTTGAGACAGGATCTCGCTCTGTAACCCCAAGTGGCACTATCTGAGCTCACTGCCACCTCCACTTCATGGCCTGAAGAATCCTTCCACCTCAGCTTCCCAAAGTGCTGGGATTACAGGTGTGAGCCGTGCACCCAGCCTAAAATTGTATCTTTCTTATTAACAGGGAAGTTAAACATTTTATCCTGTGTGTCAGCAGCATTTGCATTTCTTTTTCTTTGAACTTTATTTTTCCCGTTTGAACTTTCCATTTTTCTTAGAATTGTTAGTCTTTGTCTTCTCTACTTTTAGAATAGAATGAATATGATATTAATAGTACTTCAAATTGTGGCCACGATGGAGTACCTGTATTGATGATAGTCTCCCAGCATAAACAACTACAAAGCTGCACAAAGTACATGAAGAAATTGTCTTCAGGCATTGGCAATAGGCAGTTCCAGGTACAATCTGTGAGAAGGGAATCACATGAAGGGACTGCTACATTTTTCTGGTGGAGAAAGTTTCCAAACCCTCAATGATAGCATGAGGAAACAGAGTCCAGGCCGAAAGGATCAGTGTTGTTTGGTGGAGGAAACAGAGACTGCTGCTCAGGGCTGCTAAAATGTATGTGGCAGAGTATCAGAAAGGATGGAGTTGCAGAGAAGGAGCCCCAGAAATCTTATAGAGTTTGCTGCAAGTCCTTGGCCAAATCTCACACTATGAATGTGTGGATTGAGACTCTGCAAGGCCCAGCACAGAACAGCCAATGGGGAGCTGAAAGCTAAACAGCAATTTCAGTGGTCACAGAGTGCTGGAGACACATCTGAATTCTGGTTCAGCCAGAGTGTCCACTCTTGGAATCTCAGGCCTCGATGAATATCCCAGATACTCCCAGGAGGGCCTAGAAGGCCATGCCTTGGGATTAAGGAAGATACCCCAGGAATAAGGGCAAAACTGAACAACAGCTCACCCTAACAAAACCTAAAATGTAGTCTGACACACATGATCAAGTTAACCCATCAATAATTTAATTCCCTGCCAAAATAAAACTCAACACTAGAGCAGGATAACATAATCCACATCTCTACAATGAAGGTTCACAACATCCAACAGCTCAAGAAATACTGACTACATGTGTCAAAAAGAGAGAAAATGTATCCTAAAATTAAGAGAAAACCAGTCAATACAAACAGACCCACCGTGCATGGAGGCTCATGCCTGTAACCCCAGCACTTTGGGAGGCCAAGGCAGGTAGATCACTTGAGCTCAAGACTTTGAGACCAGCCTGGGCAACATGGCAAAACCCCATCTCTACTAAAACTTCAAAAATGAGTTGGGTGTGGGGGTGTGCAGGGGTCCGTAACCCCCAGGCTGTGGACTGTACCAGTCGGTGACCTGTTAGGAACCAGGCTGCACAGCAGGAGGTGAGTGGTGGGTAGTGAGCGTTACTGCCTGAGCTCCGTTCCCCATCAGATCAACAGGCATTAGATTCTCACAGGAGCGTGAATCCTAATGTGAACTGCACATGCGAGGGCTCTAGGTTTCACACTCTTTATGAGAACCTAATGCCTGATGATCTGAAGTGGAACAGTTTCATACCATAAACACCGCCCCCAACCCCGTCTGTGGAAAAATTGTCTTCCACAAAACCAGTCAGGACTGCTGGTGGCTTGTCCCTGTGGTCCCAGCTAGTTGGAAGGCTGAGGGGAAAGGATGGCTTGAGCCTGGGAGGTGGAGGTTGCAGTGAGTTGAGATCATGCCACTGCACTCCAGCCTGGACAACAGAGTGAGATCTTACCTCAAAGAAACAAACAAAAGGGCCGGGCATGGTGGCTCACACCTGTAATCCCAGCACTTTGGGAGGCTGAGGCAGGCAGATCACCTGAGGTCAGAAATTCAAGACCAGCCACACGAGGTGGAGGTTGCAGTGAGCCAAGATGGCACCATTTTACTCCAGCCTGGGATACAAGAGTGAAACTCCATCTCAAAAAACAAAACAAAACAAAAAACCCATGAATGGCTCACATATTGAAATTAGCAGGCAAGAGCTTTAAAGTAACTACATACATACATTTAAGAATTTAGAGAGGGCCGGGCGTGGTGGCTCAAGCCTGTAATCCCAACACTTTGGGAGACTGAGTCGGGTGGATCACGAGGTCAGGAGATCGAGACCATCCTGGCTAACATGGTGAAACCCCGTCTCTACTAAAAAAGAAATACAAAAAACTAGCCAGGCGAGGTGGTGGGCTCCTGTCATCCCAGCTACTCGGGAGGCTGAGGCAGGAGAATGACGTAGACCCAGGAGGCGGAGCTTGCAGTGAGCTGAGATCCAGCCACTGCACTCCAGCCTGGGCAACAGAGTGAGACTCCATCTCAAAAAAAAAAAAAAATTTAGAGAAATATCAACACCTGTGAAGATGGTGAAAAAAGAATCGAGAAAATAAGTTTCAGTATAAATGTGTCCTAAATATGCGTGGTACATACGTACTAAAAAATAGTTTATTTTTTATCAGAAATCTAAATTTAACGGGGCATCCTATATTTTATCTGGCATCTCTATACCAAAGGCAAGCAGGAGAGAGTCCAGAGTCCTATCTTCCAGCAGGCAACCTAGCCTAGGACAGGGCCTGCCAGGGGCAATTGGGCATTGGATGGGTTAGAAATGCCAGTCATTCAGTGTGCCAAAGGTTTGCCAGATCTGCATACAATCAACATTTTTATTCAATATTTTTGTCTAAAGCAACTTTAAAAATTTTAACCCTTTATTTGGAAATACAGATTCAGAGGAAATGTCAAAGATGGTACAAAGAGGTTTCATGGACTCCTCACTCAGTTTTCTCCAAAGGTTCTATTTTGTATAAATGTAGGACAGTATCGAACGATGTCATGTGTCTAGGTCTATGCCATTTTATCACATATGTAGACTCCTTTAACCACCGCTGCAATCAAGATACAGAACAGTTCCACCACCACAAAAATTCCCCTCCTGCTATTCCTCTACACTCATTCCAGGCTCTTTCCCTCCAGTATTCCTACTCCTGGCAACCACGAATCTGCTTTCTGTCTTTATAATCTTCCCACTTCAAGAACATTATAAAATGCAAAAATTATCCAGGCATGGTGGCACCAGCTTGTAGTTCCAGCTA